TTTTTAAATATATTTAACATTTAAAAAGTCTTTTCAAAATAATAATTTTTTTTTAATAATAATGCAGTCACCTTTAAAGTTAAGTTCATCAAATATATAAATAATGATATATCATTATTGTAGTTTTTGAAAATCCGAGTAAATAAGTCTTATACTTTTAATTGTAATTTTATCTCAAATTGAATGTGATTTATGGCCAACGACGTTTTTGTCTACCGATCGACCCTTATGAATGCGTGCATGCGCAATAAAATCAGTTAAAATAATGTATCACCACGTATTTTGAATTTAAAAGATAAAAAGATAGATTTGTTTTTTAAATTTTCTTCACCATTTTTTCTATATTACTTATTCTGAACCTTCTCTGCAAATTTGGCCGGTTATTGCAGAATAACTCTGTATATATAAGTGTAATATAAATATGTGTTAATATATGTAAATATACGGATATATATGTATTTACGTACAATATTATATCATAATCTACTTTGTTACATATAATTTTCATTTATTTTAGTTTCTTTTTTTTCTTGTTTTTTCTTGCAATTGCTACACCTACGACAAACTCTCATCACTGCATGGGTTGACTGGTAGATAATGCCTTTAGGTATTAAGTCCGCCAAAATTATCATATCTAAGTTCACATAAACCATTTCATCAATCCATAACATAGTTTAAAAAAATGTTGTTTGGCTCTTATGGTACCTTTCCATGCTTGCCAAGGCTTGGCAAACGTCTTCAAGCCCCAAGCGTTCACAAATCTCGTTTGGCGTTTGGAAGTCGCTTTTATGCTTATGAATGCGTCAGTGTGCTACGTACACCCAAGCATGGCGGACACCGAACTTGTTTAATATAATTTTATTTGAAATACAAGCAAAGTAATACAAAAACAAGGAATTTTTGGCTTTTAATTCTTTTACTCGCTTTCCCGTTAACTCGGTAAGACGACTCCAAGCATCTTTCTTTTTATTTTTATGATTAACGTCTTTGGGGTTCCAGATAGACGATTCGCTCTGGTAATATTCCAGAATCGATAAACAGTCTTCGTTCGAGCAGCCACTCATTTTAAACAAAGAACTAAACATGCGCTCGTCGCGAAATTACAATTTCTACTAAACGCGGACGCGCACCAACGTGTGAATACGTTGCAAGCGCTTACCGCAAGCGCCCTTTGATCTGTGTCCAAAAACCGACACTAGACCGGCGGATCGGGAACAAGCGTCCACAAGCTCACGCAAGCCAAGCCAAACACCCTCTTTATGCCGGGTTTACACGCTTGCCAAGTCTCCACAAGCACAAGCGTTTAAAATGAGTGGCTGGTCGAACGAAGAGAGTTTATCGTTTCTGGAATATTACCAGTGCGAATCCTCTATCTGGAACCCCAAAGACGTTAAACACAAAAATAAAAAGAAATTTGCAGATGCTTTGAGTCGTCTTACCGAGTTAACGGGAAAGCCAGTAAAAGAATTAAAAGCCAAAAATTCCTTGTTTTTGTATTTCAAATAAAAGTATGTTAAACCAAACGCAACAGCCGACACAAGTTCGGTTTCCGCCATGCTTGGGTTTACGTAGCACACTGACGCATTCACAAGCATGAAAACGATTTCCAAACGCCAAACGAGATTTGTGGAAGCTTGGGGCTTGAAGACATTTGCCAAGGCTTGGCAAGCATGGAAAGGCACCATTACACGCTTGTGCTTGTGGATGCTTGCCGAGACTTGGCAAGCGTGTAAACCCGGCATTACGTAGTTCATTTCCGAGCGCGTGCACAGTATAGCTATCTCATAATTTGCGTACGAGAATTAATTGCATCACTTTCATTTTGACACTTCCTCAGTCGTCCTTGAGCTTCGTCGACGACGGGCTAAACCACGCCACCAAAACTACAATTCATTTTCAAGGTCAAAAATCCTCTTAATGCTTTTTTACAGAATACGACATAATTGAGCCAAAGTACTGCTCCCAATACGTTCTTTTCCTGCGCACGGGCTGTCCCGCATCTTGCGCTGATGAAGAGTTTGATCCTGTTTGTGGCATCAGCAATGTGGACAACCACGTCGCCGCGTTCAGGAGTCGATGCGCCCTGGATGCCGCAAACTGTCGCCATGGGATTGTACAAGGTTATTTCCAAACTATAGTAGCCGGGATAATTACAAGTTGTGGCCATAGTTGTCAGAGGTGACAACGCATCAAGAACGCATCAGACAAGCCTTCTTTGTTTGGAGTTGGTTGCAGTTGTTCTTGGAATGCAATAGCCACTGAATTGCAAGTTTGTTAGTCGTTTCAGTTTTATAAAAAACCTTATGCAAGAATGGCGTAATCTCCTCTGAGATCCGAGATGGAATGACTGACAATTATAGAGAACCTGCTTAATTACAGGAAGTTTTTTTAATTATAATTTTCAAATATAAATACAACAGTCTATTATCTGCTGCTTGGTGACAGAAATAGGTAAGGGAGTTGTACTACTCAGACGTATTATTTTCGGCAAAATGCACAAACGTGTCGGTTTGACGGCAATGATCAAAGACTTCTATGTGTACTTACTACTAAATTGTAGCTGTGGATTGCGTGGGCTCGGGCGCGGGCGAGAAGCTTTCACGGTAAATATGCTACGCAATTATATAATCATACACGACAGTTAATGTTTTTAATACCCAACGAAACAGAGGGTAGTTATAAGTTTGTAGTGTGTATCTGTTTATCTGTGCGTCTGTCTGTGGCATCATATCTCTTAAACTAATGATTTTGATTAAGTTTTTTCGTTGGAAAGTATTCTTAGTTTTTTTTTTTTATTTTCAATTTAAAGTATTATTCTGAAATAAATTTCAAATCACGTTAACAAAGTGTGTTAATAAATAATGAAAGCATTTTAGTTACATCAGTCAAAATTAATGTTAGGTTATAGAAAACAACGTATGTAAGTGATTTACAAAACACTAATACACTAACTATAACAACACTCACACCACATATCACCGCAGCAAGTTCACGAGAACGGCAGAAATTAACATTGTAACTTTTCGGGATCTATCATTTCAGGGAAAAATGTTAAAACATTGTTTATAAGAACACGTGCTTGTGCTGGTATATTGGTGCCAACAGACAAAATATTATTTTAAATAAATTCAAATTCATTTATTTATTTGTGAATACAGTAAGTTATGTGTTCGTAAAATTTACATTAGGTATCGTGTATTCTACCACAGTGTGGTGTACAAATATTCATTACAATATTGTCAATAGAAGCAAAATTGTGTCACTAAAGAAATTCAGAGAGCGAATGCGCAAAAACAAATTTCTCTTCGTTATATGTACTAAATTATCATTGCACTAATTTGCAGGTATTAGGCGGGGGTAATAATGGAAAACAAATGACTTATAACATAACAATGTCACACCAGCCTTTGTATACCGCACTGCCGCCATGTACCTGCCTTCGATGATTCATTTGTTGTTATCGATAATGGCGTTGCGCCCGCGCAACACGCTCACCGCCCTAACTGAGCTGAGGCCGAGCTATGATTTATGACCCCAACTGCACGGACAAAATAATTTTACTATAGTTTATAATAGTCACCTAAAGAAGTTAAGGAGAATTGACCGTAACTTAGAGCGCAATGTATTAAGGTCGCAGAGCCCGTTTAGTAGTTATACATAGGAGTCTTTGGCCAAGAAAGTCAGCATTTTTAATAGCGAAGGGGAATATCATCTTATATCTAGTTCTCAGGCGTGAAGTTGCATCTTTGGTCTCCTTTCTGTAGCTGTAGAAATGTCTGAAATAAGGACGACTGGCAGTTTATTTTCCACCCAAATAATAAATTAAAAAAAAAACGTAATCATTTTCTTTTTCAGAATACGAAGAAGTGGATATGGGTGTTTGTGCTTATTATCTCTAATAAAGGCAAAATTATTTTTACTTGGAATCATCTTAAATAAAGCTGTGTAAATTCTGACAATTCTGGTTTTATTTTTAACTCCTAATAAATAAATATAAATATTTATACGTGGTAGAGCAATGCTGCAGCTATATTAGTAATATAGTTGTAGCACGAACGGGTCGGCTCGACCGGGGAAGGACCACGCTCTCACAGAATACCAGCGTAAAATAGCAGCTTAACGTTGCTGTGTTTCGTATGGTGAGTGTAGAGAACCGGAGTCCCCTTTTTACAGGAAAAGAGGCATTCCATCTTAGTCCTCACGGGTGACAACGCATCTGCATTTTGATCTTTCATTGAGGATGGACGTAGATGTCTATGGGTCACAGCAACCACTTAGCATCAGGTGGACTGTGTGCTCGTTTGTCACCCTATCCTATAAAAAAATATCCTTCAGATTTTTTTTTGAGGTCGGCTAAAAACATATTCATCACTCTTGTCTTGAAGAATGAGTGACAATCAGATGTAAAGAAATTTTATCTCGCTTATGACTGTATGTTCTCCTTCTTTACCAGCAACCCAAGTCTCTCAGGAGACGAATTGACCGTATAGAAGATTTTAATCACACCTAACACAAAGCAGATTGTTATAATAAAAATTTTGTTGATGTTACTGTGAATTAATTAAAAACTACGTTTGTTTAATCATGGTTGGCCACATTCTACTAACATTAATGAAAAAAAGTGTAGTCTGAAATTTATCGGTCATGGAGAAGCGTTTGATTTTGTTTATAGCAGTTGGTAAGCGTGATTGTTGTAACCTACATATATATTTTCTAATCTCTTACAATTGGCGGCAGTAGTCCTCTATCCCCCTAAAACTTAACGAATATGCCACAGATACGTTGTCACTATTGAGAACTAAGACGAAATGCCGTACAGCCTGCCAGTGCTTGGCGGGAGAAAAATGTGAGACGATGGTACCTAACTAGACGGATGGACTTCTAAGTGGAAAAAGAGTCATACAACTTCCGCATGACAAAATAGGATTAAAACAATATTGGACAAAATTTTATGCATTCTCTTATGTTGTCATCACACGGTAAAAAGTAAATCTTATTTTATGTTTGTAGCAGTCTATACAGAGCCAGTTACTGGCTCATCGCAGTTATCAACACTGCCAGTACACGAACGAATCGCAATACTGAAGGAAAAACTTCTACAAAATATTCAGCGGCAACGCGGCATACCGGGTATTGTTTCAATATTTGATTCAACGGAAAGCGATTATTATGAAAGGCGTGAACATGAAAAGCGATATAGAGATTTTTTAATTCCTCCTATAAATAATCCTATTAAAAAAAAGCCAAAATATAAAGCCACAACGACAACAACTGTCAAAAGTACCGCCATAAATAAAACAGACAAAGGTCACACGACACAGAGCCACGCATTGCGTACCGATTTAAACGCATTATTAGTTACGACAAAAAAGAAACATTTGGCTAAACCAGTTGAAGTGTTTTATAGGCGTAAAGCGAAAAATGAATCTAAAAATATGGAATCAAAATGGGCTCACTGTCAAGATTTGGTCACGCCGTTCCTGACTGGTATAAAGAAAGATGTGAAGGAATTGAAGAAGGTTTTGAATCGAGACCCTATTGTCGTAAGGTATGAGTAAATATACAAATAAATCAAATTAAAACTTTATACAGGGTTATTTTTCAAAGAGTAGCCAAATTTTAAACTTAAATTCAAACGTTTATGTGATAACGTTATTGCAAATTTTAAATATACGAGTAAATACTTTTATTTTAAACTTTCCCTAATTGATTTTTTTTTTATAGAATAAGGGTGACAAACGAGCACACAGTCCACCTGATGGTAAGTGGTTGCTGTGGCCCATAGACATCTACATCTATCTTCGTTTGCGAATTAAAATGCAGATGCGTTGTCAGCCGTGAGGACTAAGATAGAATGCCTCTTTTCCAGTAAAAAAGGGTCTCCGGTTCTCTACACTCACCATACGAAACACAGCAGCATTAATGTGATTTATGGGCAACAACTACGCGCACGCGCGCTCCTCTGTGTGCGATTCAATTCACAACGTTCTTACCAATCGATCGATCCTTACGAATGTGTACGTACGTATTTATGAATGAAAAACAGTTAAAATAATGCAGTACCACGCATTTTAAATTTAAAAGATAAAAACAGAATGTTTGAGATAGTTTTTCATTAATTTTTCTTCTCTATTTTCCGATATTACTTATTCTGAACCTTCTCTGCAAGTTTGGCCGGTTATTGCAATATAACAATGTATTAAGAACTCCAAACGATGCAGTTCGAATTTATCACCCTATTTCGTAACCTAAAAGCCGTGGTAGCTCAGATGATTAGCGCTCGCTGTAAATTTCACGGTACGCGAGCAACCCGGGTTCGATCCCCGGTCATCCTATAAAAATCTCATAGCATCCGTAAGTTGGTGGTATTACCAATTTAGTATGCTTTTAAAAAGTTGGTTTGCATTGATTCGTAGAGAATGCCCTTTAGCATTAAACTCGTCTTTTGTACAATGTCTTTGGTGTAATAAAGGATACAATAATAATAATAAATCGCACAGTAGTAAACCACCAAGCGTCCAGATAGTGTGGATGCTATCTTGAGCCTTAACACGATGTGCGTTGGTTGAATTTGGCGGCTGGAATTAATCCGAACAATTCCTCTGAGCTCAACTCGCGGTAAATGCGACAGAAAATGCAAGGGTATAGAACATCCCATCGCAGCACAAATTAATTGAGAAGATCAGAAAGAAATCGCTGGGCGATGATTTGAACCGCTCTGCGCTGGATGCGGTCAAGTGGAAGGAGCTAGCATCGTTAGTGCCTATGGTATAAAGCATCCACTTACCATTAGATGGAGTGTGCTCGTTTGACTTAATTGTATGAAAAATGTGTTTCGGGCAGACATGTGTCACTCATTCATCCCTAGTAACACGATCATTCAAGTATTGAGTCGTCTTTCGAACCGAGTTATTCGGGTCGATCTTTCAAATGGATCATGTCTAGTTTCAGTACTCTGTGTTATGTGAGACTCGCTCGATAATGTCAAATTACTATATATACTCTTTGGTCGTAGGTCCGTCAAACGCTTGATCCGGAACGTTAAAAAAATGTAATAGCAATTATAAATATTTTCATGCGACCCGGGTCAAATGAACCAAAATTGTTATTTTTTTTCCAGATTATGCCAGTTGCTGAATGAAAACACTACTACATACACCACAGAGGAGACATATTCAATACTTTATCAAATAAATAACTTGCAACTTAGATTTTTCCAGTGGGACCTGGCACCAATCAGAGCTTTATTCAATATTATAGCAAAAGGTAAAAATCGGAAAGAATATACTTTTATTTAGTAATAAATTGGTAAATTAAAAATTGACTTTCAATAAGATTTACACATGTGATCTATATTGAATAAAAAATATTCTACTCTACTCTATTCTAAGATAGAATGTCTCACAGTCTGTAACTATACTGGCTCTCTAGACCCTTCAGAAAACAGTATACGTGCTGCTGCTTAGCGGAAGAAATAGTTAAGGGTGGTCACCAAATACAAATCAAACGGGCGCATGGGCAGAAATGAATACTTAATAAACGAGTCTTATCATCGCATATCAGCGCACTGCTTATCCAGTTTATTGAATAACCAGTTCGTTTATTTATTAATTTAAATTTTTGCATGGTTACCGTGTAGTGGCGGTGCATAAATATCCACCGAGGGAAACAAATCCAAAGATGTGCAGCAGCGTCTTCCTAATATTAACGAAAAAAAAAAATTGAGTTTTCCAACTCGCTTGCCAAACGTTGCAACTATGGCAAATATCCCCCCTGTGGGGTAATCCATGGGGGAGGCCTATGTTCAGCAGTGGAGTTTTATAGGCCGTAATGGATGTATGTATAGAAGATAATCTACCAGGAGCACATGACCCACTGAGAGGTGAAATTATTAAATTAACAGTAACATTACAACTATGGCAAATACTACCTACGAGGCAATCTATGGGGGAGGCCTATGTTCTGCAGTGGACTTTAATAGGCTGTAACGACGCTCTTACAGACAGCTCTTACTACAAAATTTGTTTGTATTGTATTTTATTGTACGAATAACTATTATTCGAATATTGCAAAACTAGTCCTTAAATCAGTATTTATAAGGCTCAAAATAGACAAAATAGGTATAATCTGCTGTAAAATCAGCCATCTTTTAAAATAAGAAAGATTACCTATCACCAGAATACCAGCGTAAAATAGCAGCTTAACGCTGCTGTGTTTCGTATGATGAGTTTAGAGAAGTGGATAGCCTTTTTACTGGAAACGAGGCATTACATCTTAGTCCTCACGGATGACAACGCATCTGCATATTGATTCGTAATCGAAGATAGATGTAGATATCTATGGGCGGCAGCAACCACTTACCATCAGGTGAACTGTGTGCTTGTTGTCACCCTTATCCCTTAAAAAAAACAACCACTCCTTTTACATGTCACGGTTTATAAAAACAATAAAAACATGCGTGAGTGTCGTGGAACACTCAGTTGGAACGTAGTTCCTTGCGTAGTATATTATTATTGATAAACATAGGTATTATATTATTCATTAACAAATACAAATAAATGCATTACTAGCGTCTATTAAAATGAAGCGTCATTTGAAATAAAATATTTCTTTCATGGCAAGATAAGAAAAAGTGCGAAGGAGATTGATATTATTCCATCTCGCTCGCTCTATGGAAAGAAGGTCGTGACGGAAAAATCTTACACTTATTCTCGCCTAGCCCCCATCCGTCAAATTCGTACCGTGGGATAAGGAACTTCGTTCCAATATATTAAAATATGATTCGTGCAATACCACAAGTGTTCAATAACACTCCTCTGTATATTGCGGACTATTCAACACCTTACAAGTCATGGCATGTAAGTCTAGCGCTGAACGAAACGTGGAGGGGACGTGATTTGCACGAATGCGACTGGAGAAACAATCAGCGCGCTCGAACGATACGCACGAGCCAATCAGCACGACTTATTCGCTATAAGTCAATTAGCGCGACCTATGCACAATAACGGTCACCGCTAGACTTTCGTGCCGCTATTTATACCTATGGAATTTCCCGGTCCCGCGTTGTTCGCCAACACATTTTGAAGAAGTGAGTTAACACTTCCGGCGCAGTGAACTGAATTAGCGCAATGCGCGGCGCAGCACAGTGTTACACACGTCTAACTCAAAATATCTAACTAATAATATATTGTGTTTATTTTCCAGGCCCACATCACACTTTTAAAAATTTGAAACGCGGCCTCATAACATTGTTAACAAATTGGCGTCTTGACTTAACTAATACGACGAACATACTCCAGCAGACTCGCATCATCAGGCCACTGTGTACAGTGACGTCACATTTCGAAGGTAATTCCTTTCTTTTTTTACGCCATCCTTCTTCTTGTAGTGGCAGTATAGGAATGTCCATTATTTCATATCGCCCGTGGGTAAAGTAAAAGGTGACAGGGGAAAGAAACCAGAAGATGTTCAGCAGCATTAGACTGATTTTTCTGCGCACGTACACATTCGTAATGGCCGATCGGTAGGCAAAAATGTTGCTGCCCATAAATCACATTCAATTTGGAATAGTTTCAAATAAAAGTAGAAGTCTTATTTCTTCGTATTTTCAAAAACTGCAATAACGGTATGTCATTATTTATATATTTGAACTTGAGTTTTAAATTTGGCTACTCTGAAAAATAACCTTGTATTATATAAAACGAGCATGCGGCTCACTTGATGGTAAGTGGCTATGTGTTTAAACAAGCCGAATAGCTAAAACAGTTATTAAAAGTACCGACTGCGTAGAAAAGTTTATTAAAACAAAGAAGAAAAAAAAACATATGTTATACCTATTATTGCACTTTCACAACAGTCGAATATTGATGGTTGGATGGATGATAAAAATGCATCGGCATTTTGATTGGTTTTCGAGGTTAAATGGAGATGTTTATAAACCTCATCTGCCAATTACCATCGGGCGGTATTCGTGGTAGAGCCACGCTGCAGCTATATTATGGTTGTAACACAAACGGGTAGGCTCGACCGAGTGAGGACCACGCTCTGACAGAATAGCAGCGTAAAATAGCAACTAAATGTTTCTAAAAAAAACCAGATCCCCGTTTTACTGGAAACGAGACATTTCATCTTAGTCATCGTCAGGGGTGAGAACGCAACTGCATTTTGATTTTTAACCTATTATCAACCGACTTCAAAAAGGAGACGGAACTCAATTCGACTGTATATTTTTTTTATGTGTGTTACCTCATAACTTTTTACTGGGTGAACCAATTTTGATGATTCTTTTTTTATTTGAAAAGCTGGTACTTCACATGTGGTCCCATATAAATTTGATCAAGGCCAATTGTTTTTGAGTTATACTTAATAATTTATATTGAAGTCAGATGTACAAAATTTTTAATTTTAAATTATTTTACAATATCGCAAAAATAATAAAGGTATTTTTAGTCTTGTGTTTATAGATAGCGCTATAAACAACATATATATATATATATATATATATATATATATATATACATATATATATATATATATATATAGTTTATAGCGCCATCTATCGGAAGTTACAAGAACTTTTTGCTTATAGTTAAATTCTCTTACTCTTACCCCATACCACACGGCAAGTTGTTTTTTTTTTGCGCCCAGAAGCAATTGGAAAAAGGGCTACCCCATTACGCGGGGAGGCGGTAAATGCTTTATGCATACCACGACAGCCGGTCTGTCGTGGTTATGTGGGACTCACTGTGTCTAACCTAACCGGGAGCCTAAGTGATACCCACTAAAACCGCCTGTGGGACTGACGGTTGGCCGATTAAGCCGCTTTATAGGATCAGAAGCGACCCTCTTTTGGGAAAAGAGGGCGCAGGCGGCTACAAAGAGCCGCTGAGGGAGAGCCTACTTAGGCAAATTTAAGAAGAATCGGCCTGAGCCGTCAGGAGGTAGTTCAGGACGGTTGAAATTTTATTTGGCGGGTCCGAGAGAGAGTTTCTTGGCCTGCGGATTCGATAGCGAGAGGGGGGTGGGGCTGCATAAGTAGCTGCCTCACGAATAAAATGATTGGAATGCGACTCTGAGGCTTTGAAGAAGTTCTCAGAGAGTGTTTTTAGAAGTTGCTGGATTGTAGGGAGCTCTAAGTCCCGATGAAGGTCGGCATTACCGACGTACCAAGGTGTGTTTGCAGCTCGACGACAGAAGGGGTTTTGAACTACTTGGAGTTCATTAATAATTTTGTGCCACATATTATATGTCAAAAATTAAAAATATAGTTTGAACTGTCAACTGCCCTGTGCGTGATTCATGTTGTTTTTCCTTATATTAAATATAGTTGCTAAATTAGTATTAAAATCTTAATTATTATAAAAATTGCATTAGCCTTCCGTTTGTATATATTGTGTGTTGTTATAAACTATAGTGTGGTAGTAAATGTACTGTTATTGTGAACTGTGGAGCCGATTTATAAAGGGAATAAAAATTATAACAGTGAACAGTGAGTTATTTCTTATCACCAATTTCACTACAATTTTAGGGTCAGCGTGGGCAAAAATGGGGCCCGTGTAGGACATGACTGGTACGGCAAGTTGTATCCATACATCGCCTTATATACTCTCACAATTTCAGGTTCCACAAAGGCGCAGAAAGTGTCCAAATACAAGGACTGGCTCACAACTCCCCGCGCGAGGTTCGACGATGAATTTGAATAAATAGGTGAATAAAATATTGAGGAAATATTGCAGTATTTTTTATTTCTTCCAGCATACTTGCACGTCGTAGGCAAATAAAACCATTATGACTTTTTGACGTGACAACGTCTTATAATTCGATGAAGCTGGCTGCACGCTCGAAAAAACATGAATCATGCGGCGTTACCTCGCTCTGAGGCGTTCCATTTAAAGTGCAAGCGAGAACGCGGAACGAGCGACAAAGAGGCACAATCGACCTCCGCGTTCGGCATGTCCGCATGGACAGCTGCTATACAATAATACATTTACATGTTTTCCTCAAGTATGAAGTGCAGTGAAAAGTGAATGTGGTGTCAATTGTTTATAGCAACGATAATTGCGGCGATAAAGGTAATGATTCTTTCGATATTAAATATTTCTTATGACGTTGTCACGTTCAACTATCGTCAGTAAAGCGACTTTACAGACAACCGATTTTTATGTAGTACTGACGATCCGGCCCGGCTTCGCACGGGTGATTTTTTTATCTCGACAACAGCCACCTACCTAGTTCAATCGTTAATGTAAACCATTCAGTGATTTGCTCAAATGGACACAAAAAAAATCAAAATCAGTCGAGGCATTTTCGAGTTTTAGCGAGACTAACGGACAGCAATTGATATTTATATATAGAGACTAGCGATCCATCCCGGCTTCGCACGGGTGACTTCTGGATAACAGCGCCATCTATCGGGTACAAATGTAAATCTAAACCATCCAGGCACCAATACAAACACAGGAAAAATTTAATCAAAATCAGTCGATCCATTTTCGAGTTTTAGCAAGAATAACGGACTGCAATTGATATTTATATATAGAGACTAGCAATCCACCCCGGCTTCGCACGGGTGACTTTTGGATAACAGTGCCATCTATTGGGTACAAATGTAAATCTAAACCATCCAGGCACCAATACAAACACAGGAAAAATTTAATAAAAATCAGTCGAGCCATTTTCGAGTTTTAGCGAGACTAACGGACTGCAATTGATATTTATATATAGAGACTAGCGATCCACCCCGGCTTCGCACGGGAGACTTCTGGGTAACAGCGCCATCTATCGGGTACAAATGTAAATCTAAACCATCCAGGCACCAATACAAACAGGATAAATTTAATCGAAATGAAATCAGTCGAGCCATTTTCGAGTTTTTACAAGACTTACACAGCAATTGATTTTTAAATAGGTATATAGATTAAAAAAAAAACAGAGGCAGCTATAAGGACTGCCGACAAAAGTGAAAACTCAATGATATATATGCGTACAAATATACATAGGCACAAATATACATGCCCGTCTGTGAGCATGTCGAGGACATCGGTGACGCGAACCCATAAATTTTTCCCCTACCAAAAATCGTCAAATAATTCAAATTAAAATGTCAATATATTATGTATTTTTCACCATGATACTTTATCCAAGTATTTTGTTATAAAACAGAAGTAACAAACGAGCGTAGAGTCCACCCGATGGCAAGTGGCCACTTCAATCCTGCAAATCAAAGGACACCCGCAACTTCTCTTTCGCTGTCCCGTGCACTTTTTTTTTTTATATAGGATATGGGTGACAAACGAGCACACAGTCCACCTGATGGTATGTGGTTGCTGTGGCCCATAGACATCTACATCTATCTTCGATTAAGAGTCAAAATGCAGATGCGTTGTCACCCGTGAGGACTAAGATGGAATGCCTCGTTTCCAGTAAAAAGGGTCTCCGGTTCTCTACACTCACCATACGAAACACAGCAGCGTTAAGTTGCTATTTTACGCTGGTATTCTGTGAGAGCGTGGTCCTTCCCCGGTCGAGCCGACCCATTCGTGCTACAACCATAATATAGCTGCAGCATGGCTCTACCACGTATACATATAAGTCGTTACTATTGTCTTACTATTGTGTTTGAAAACCGGACAGTGAAAGTGTTAAAACCAAGAAGGCTACAAAATGCGTTCGCCATCTCTGAGGACTAAGATGGAATGCCTCATAACCAAAAAATCAAGGTAATTATACTGGCTTATCACAATAAAATATTATTGTGATAAGTGACGGTAGAATTAGCCATACTGCTAAACGAAGCTATCTCGCGTAATGGCGATTAATGAATCAAGAAAATATCATTAAATTAATAATGATGTGGTATGCGTTACAAAGAGAATTATATACGTGTAAAAAGCGGTGCGAGAGAAATATAAATTATAGTTAATATAACTGTTGAATGCACTGCTCTCGTCAAATATCGGAACACTCTTGGATAGTACTACTTTCTCTCTTGCTATCAGCCTGAGATTAGGTTTAAAAACCAATGAGCTCAATCGCTGCCGCTGTGGTAAAGAGGTCGACATTCTCGGACATCACGGCCTCGCTTGCTAGCGGAGCGCTGGTCGCTTCCCTCGCTATGCAGTCATTAATGACGTGATTCGACGGGCCTTAACTAGTGCCAACGTACCTGCAATTTTAGAGCCAAGCGGTATATTGCGGGACGATGGTAAGAGGCCTGATGGAATGACGCTTATTCCATGGAAAAATGGGCGCTCCTTAGTATGGGATGCGACTTGTGTGGACACATTAGCGCCATCACATCTCGCGGCGACTGCACAGAAGGCAGGCGCAGCTGCTGCTGTTGCCGAGTCTAACAAGTGGCGCAAATATGCAGCCCTCGGAGAGAACAGTGTAGAATCGCTGGGGCCGTGGGGTCCTGAAACAATGCGTTTGTACAGAGATATCTCATCACGCCTTGTCATTGTCTCTGGTGATCCTAAAGCTGACAGATATTTTGTTCAGCGGATCAGCCTCGCAATACAGCGAGGCAACTCAGCCAGTTTTTTGGGCACACTACTAACAGAAGGCGGCGATTTAGCAAGTATCTTTTACTTAAATTAAGCTTTACATACCGTATAATTTTGTGCAACATTTTTTTTCCGTTAATTTGTTTATTATGTTAATTAGAAGTATTTAAGTTTTAATTTCATTTGTTTGTGTTGTATTTTATTAAATTATCGCGGCTTGGAGTAACCAGAAACTATAGCTATCTATGATCACTAGCTACAAACACTAAGAGAAACTATTGCTTTTAATACAATTTACAAGTAAGACAACTATAGAAGAAAAACAAGATATATTTTACAAGTATTCATTAATTAAATATTATCTCTTAAAACCTTCCTAAACATTAAATCATTCTCTTTCTATTGGAGAGATCTCTAACAGACTTCGAGGCAGATGAGGCGATGAGTTTTTATTCAAGTATGGCCTCTCAAAAAGCCAAAAAGCATACGAGTGCTAAAATAACAATAAGAATGTTGACTTTTCATTCTCTACTATTCTTAAGGATACCGAAAGGTGAGATATTATTATTTATAAGTAGATCTAGATAATTAGATACCTAGTTACTGACGCTATAGTTACAGACTTATTATTTGATTAGTGACGCGACCACAGCTTCGCAGTTCTCGTGTTTTTCGCATATAATGACATATATATTCAATATTTCTCAAGAGCTGCTAAACAGGTTGGACAGGTTACTTAACAACTGTATCCGATTCAGGGAAAGGGCTCGCAGCAGGACTGTAAAAACTACCGTGGTATCAGCTTGCTTAGCATTGTGGGTAAACTGTATGCTAAGGTGTTAATTGAAAGAGTTATGGAAGAAACTGATGAAAAAATTTGGGATGTGCAAGCTGGATTTAGAAAGGGGATGGGGTGTACGGAGCAAGTCCTTTCCATGCGCATGATTGCGGAGAAGTTTTTGGCCAAAAACCAGAAAGTTTTTTCTGCGTTTATGGACTTGAAAAAGGCTTATGACAGAGTGGACAGGAAGGTGTTGTGGCAAACACTGAACTCATTTGGGTTGAGCGCTGGCTTGATACAGGCATTAAGGTCTCTTTATAGGGATTCTAGTGCTTGTGTCAGGATCAACGGGGTCTACTCGGACTGGTTTGGCATTCATAAAGGTGTCAGACAGGGATGTGTGGCTTCCCCGTGGCTGTTTAACTTATTTATGGACAGTTGTTTGCAAACTTTGAAAGTTGAAGAATGTGGGTTGAGAATGGGTGAGTTAACCGTCAAATGCCTTTTGTACGCCGATGATCAAGTCATATTTGCATCGTCGCCGGCCGAGTTGCAAATGATGGTTACTTTAATGAACTGGTAATTGAAAGAAAGGGGTATGAAAGTGAACGCAAGTAAGACGAAAGTGATGGTCTTTGAAAGAGAAGAAGTAAAACGTTATGAGAAATAAGAATAGAAGGGAAGTTGATTGAGGAAGTGGATGAGTTTGTATATTTGGGATGTTTATTTAGCAGGGATGGTAGATATGATAAGGATATAGAACGACGAGTGAACGCAGGAAATAGAGTGAATGGGGCTCTACACGCTATTATGAGGAGTCAGAATGTGTCAAATAAGGCACGTATGGCAATTCATAATGCTCTGTTAGTCCCTACTTCAATGGTAGTGTAAGTTGGGTCTGGCAGAAGAAGCATGAGAGTAGAATAAATGAAGAAATAGAAATGCGGTCCTTAAGGAGTATGCTAGGGCTGAATCTGAATGACAGGGTGAGAAATAGTGTGATAAGAGAAAAGTGTGGTTTGCAAGATGACGTTGTGACAAGGATTAAGAAAGGAATGCTTCGGTGGTTTGGTCATGTAGAAAGAATGAACGAGGAAAGAGTGACAAAGCAAATTTATGTTGCAGAAGTGAACGGCAGGATCGGGAAGGGACGGCCTAGACGAAGGTTTATCGACCAAATTGGCGATACATTAAAAATGGGCCAGATTAGGAGTAACCTTAAGCAACGAGCGTATATGTTTAGATATATGGATGTAAAGGAGGCGAGAGAGGTGTGTCAGGATCGCGCCAAATGGAAGTCCGTAGTCTCTGCCTACCCCTCTAGGTGACAGGCGTGAGTGTATGTGTGTATGTCATCTTTGGCCTGCGCAAATATGATCACGTTTCAGAATTTCGCTCTCAGTTAAAGTGGATGACT